GTGAAGCTAGGTAGATGGTTCTTGTATTTCATTAGGTAGAGCATCAATCAGTCAAGCATTCTCCATCAAATTCAACCACCGTTTTTGTATTTCTTAAGCATTTAAACAGCAGCCTTCAGCAGCTGTCTAATAGTTGACTATTCACTTAAACTCGATTATTATAATTCTATTTATACATTTTTAACTTCTTACCCGGTGAAAACCACTAATTATGAAAGTCTATTAAACATGAAGTATGCATCTATGAATTGTTGATTATTATATACTTCTGTACAAATGTATAAATAATAAATGAAATTAAGATTAAATAAATGCTGACCTAGTTATTCAGAAAAGAAACTGATGTTCCATATTGTAAAGTTTCAGTTAATTTTGATTATGAACTGAGTTAGCGAACCACTGAGAACCAACAAGTATTCTGGACAGCTATTTTGTTCGTGCTCAGAACTCTTAGTCAAGTAGCTTGCCTTGTAATCTGATAGGTCCTGAGTTTGATGCCTAGTGTGGTCATGGGCACATACTGATGAAGATTCCCAAACAAGGACAAAACAGCTGCACAGTACTCCCTTGTTTTCATTGGTTCTCTAAATGATGACAATTCGTCATCACACTTGAATTCAGTCGAATCTCTGCAAAACCACAACTTGAAAGCTCTAGTCAGTAGCAATACTTCATATTTTGAAGAAAATTAGCAGATAAATAAGTGATCAATAGTGTTAAACCTCATTGCGTTGGGGGTTTAGAAAACATACCAGCAGTCAGAATGAACATATAATAGGAAAAACAATTACCAAGCCAAAAGAAAACTTAATTTGGATAGGGGAAATATTTTAATAATTATTCTTTGTATTACTGAATGGAAACTAACTCATAAACAAGTTCGCTAATATAATAAAATGTTTAATCCTTATCAGATTATATAATAATACAGTTGACAGTTTATAAGCTACACCCATCTGTTAAATACAATTTCTAAGCTGCTTCTCTTTCCCTAACCTGACGGACCTTTTCTTCTTCTGTTACGTTCTATTATAGAGTGAATTCTACTCATTGTAGCATTCTGCTTACAAGTTCATAAACAGCTTCTAGAATGCAAATATAAGTAGGAGTAATAGAATTTTACTGTAATATTTGAATGAAAATACTTCTCACTAGTTGATTAATGGGATTTTTTATTCAGGGATCATTTATTCTCGACTGACTTACTCCTAAACCCTGCCCAGTTTACTAGCTGGCAGAAAACCCGGAAAAAATAAAGAGTCGGGTGGGGGTCTAACAAACCCACTTTGTGAAAACAACTCCACCATTACTGAAACTTCAAGAAGAGCTTGGATTCCTGTGTTTCTCTCAGAATGCAAGGAATGAAGAAACTTATTCCCAAAGATTTACTAAGAATTCATCACTAAGTTAACATTGATGCCTCTTTTGTTACGCTTTCAGATAGTTCTAATTCTACTTTATTAAAGGTCAAGCCAACACTCATAATGAACCACACTTAGAATAATAATTTGCTTAATTCCAAAAATGGTACTAATGTTACAGTGTGGAATTTTCAGCATTTGGTATAATATTGCACCTAATTTCATCGAATAATATATATATATACAAAAAACTGTAAATAATAAGGTAAGTAGCTAAGATTGTCGGTTAATTGAGATAGTATCACCATAGATTACAAATAGGTGATAATAAAAGGGCCAATTATTCAGCTAACAACATAGTAACTCATAAGTTTCACGCTTAATATTGTCCCTGTCGCATAGAACACGGGCTAACTAAATATGGTATCGCTGAGTTCCTATACATGGCAGCACGAGCATGTAGTCTTTTATACTGACTTCTAGTTCTACCAGGTGACATACAAGGAGAGAGTTGTGAATAGATGAAGTGCTGAAGGTCAGACAATATAGATTTAGACCTATCCTCGCATGAGTTTGAGTGTTGGTAACTAATGTAGTGGCAAGCTGACTAAGTTGCACACCACTTGCCCTAATGACAACCTTTAATACCCTTTTTAAAACAAAATAGTCCTTTTTCAGTGAACCAGGAAAGATGCATGAGCTAGCAAATTGTAAAAGCAGCGGTTGGCTGATTCCAGAGTGTTTTAGCTTCCTCATGTGGTAGCTAAGATGGAACATTTTGGGGGGGGGGATCGACAAAATATGGAATGACCAGGTAGGGTCAGAGGATAGAAATATACCAACGTATTTTGTGTCAGACCTAGTTTCTATTACAATCCACTCTATGCTACAAGCAAAAACCATAGATTTCAACACCTGTCTGTTCCTAACTGTTTGATCGGCTCAACTACGGCAGGACATTATTATATCCTTTTACAAAACATAACTAAAATATTTTAAACCATTTTACTGTTGTAAACTATGTCAGGTGTAAAGGAAATGTTTAGATCCTAAAACCAATAATGTTATCTCAAAATACCTGTCTCCTGAGTATATTGTTTAAATTTCTGCAAAGAAAACATCTGTTTCAAAAATACTGATAGAATTAAATAATACATATCTTTTGGGACAGAATGACACTATTGCTTGTCAATAGAAGATTTATAGTTTGAATAATTATTTTGAATAAATAATTCACGTTTAAGTAGTCAAACTAAAAGCACTTCCGTAGCTTGAAAAACAAGACGAAATACGTCTAGCAATAATCGGTCTATAGTTTGATGAGCAAGTGTTAAAACATTAAATACTAAAAGACTGATCACTTAAGTGAATTCTTAGAGTAGAACGATGCACAAAAGTATATTAGTTCGTTTCCAGATTTCTCAGGAGTACACATAACAGCAAAGAAAAGAAAGTCAATAAAAGCATGAGAAATGAAAAATGCCTGACAGAAAGAACAAATAAATGATGAATAATGAAGGTCTAGTGAATCTAGTTGATCGTATAAAGAAAATAAATCAGCTCCATTAGAAGCGATTTTCAACTGTTACGCCTACAGTCTCCAAACTTCGAATTTTAGGAGTATGATGGTCTCAACAGTTAAAGTCCTCACGGATAAATGCCTTTCTTCGGTTCAGCCACCCCTAATCCATCACTAACCTGATATGATATCAGCTAATATCACTAAGGGAGAATGATCAAAGCTCAACAGTGGTAACGGATGTTACAGTTACCTAAATCAAATGACGTTTACTCCCACATCAATGATCCACGTCCAACCACACATCACACATACATAAGACACTATGCAACTTCATCAATGCCAAACAAGACTTTAGCATTATAGCTGAAATTTTATCAATAAACTGTCCTCTCGAGTTCCTGCATCTCCCCAAAGAAGTGAACTGGTTAATACACTTAGTCGTTGTACTAACTGTCCTGAAACTAGGAATCACTGAAGAACAGTTCTGCAGCATTAAATCGTATTTCCCAATAGTGAATCACATATCATGATTTCTCCACTGAGGGTGACTGAAAGACTTTTGTCTCCGCTACATATTCATTTGAGGGGATAATGTTATATCTACAACTGTAAAAGACGAGAAATTTGGTAAGGAATGTTTATTTGGAATTTGGTATCTCTATACAGTGGACTTATGTACACCTTATCTCCGAATCTTCATTCGCAAAAATCTTCCGTGTTGTGCTAATTCTGCATTTCGTATTGTGTTTCTTTGTCTTCTTTTCCTGTCTCCCATGTTTTACTGTAACGATGAATCATTTACTCTCCTTGACGTCGGATCTTTCTCTCTTCTGATATTTTTATACCTATGAACGTCTGCTTCTGTAATACTGATGAATCGTATCTGTTGTAAACGCCACATATCCACAGACTAAATGTATAATACATTCCTTTGGCAACAAGTCAACTCAAGAAGGATCAACATCAAGAATAACCACATTCACCAATATCAGTACAATGGAGCTGAATAAGAACGATTACACTGAGTATTCCTGATGGATAACCCTAGTTACACTACTTCAAACAACAAATCCTAAGCTACATTTATTTCTACCCGTGTTTTCAGCAAGTTAGCTGGGTTTATCGGCTTCACAGATGCCTGTTTTCTATGTCCGTTTAGCCATTGGCATACACATGCAGAGGTAAAAATGTGATTGGAGTTTACATAGGTGTTTGGGAAGGAGTGGCTATTTTTAACCAGCTCTCTTCATTAATAACTTACAGCCAGTTGGTCTATTTGTCCTATCGTTAATCTAATGTTGGAAGCCGTCAAGTGAGGCATTATTTTCCATTTGTTCGTAATTAGAACTGCCCAGGAACAAATGGTTATCTAAACAGAATTGTAAATAATGATCACCGTTGTCGGTTCCATCGAATGGGACATCATAAGTAACCCAAATATACTATACTTTTCTGAATGGCACAATTTTCCTGCTGAAGTACTGAGATCACCTACTGACATGATTATATCTGAATGTCTAGCTTTCAGATGTGAACCAGACAGCTTTCGATGGGACTGATTCTCCACTTCTTCTGAACCAGAGTAGGTTGATGTGCAGATGGAGATTATGATCATTATATTTCTTTTTTCCATCGGGTCCGTTCATTCTGATAGCACACACTGAACTATCCACTGGAATTTAATTAACCAGTATACTTTATGCCTTAGAACTTAGTGCCGGTGGGCAGTCATAGCGTAGCTGTAGACCAACTGGATTAGTCCTCAAAATGTTGCCCCCGTCGTTTCACTCTTTCTGAGAATTCATTTCGCTTACTCTAAATTTTTCGCAACCTGTATTCCTAAGGAGGACAAATACCTGTCAGGCATTTCTTTCATTCTTCTGGAGTTTTTCTTACCCACCACTCTTTGCGGTCCTTTTCGTGAGTCTATTTTTAGTACTGGATAATTCAACATACAAAACAGATGTACGGTTTCATAATACTTCAAATGATCTTGAGCAGAGTAACATGTAAAAATGAATCATATTCTTTTCATTAATTCTACATACACGTTTCAATTAAAACTTATAAAATGAAGTAAAATGCATAGAATAAATACGTCGTGAAAATTTACTTACCAACTTGTCCAGCATCAGCAAAACGCAATACAGATGGTGTGTTTGGAAACAAAGATGTTATAACAGGTGGTATAACTTCATCCGGCAAATTACTCAGTCTCCTTGCACATGATACTTCAGAATCAGATATATCTGTTGTAGACTAGAAAAAAAGATAAATACTATAAAGACCTACAAATTGCAGTGGTAAGTTCAGCAGATCAGTATTCTGTGAAATAAGTAGTTATTATTAAAGAAAAATCTAGTTTTTGGGTTCTAATATACACTTTTATGAAAATTTCTAATGATCAACTCTTCCCATCCATATTATTATTGTTCCCTTGGGTTCTTAGTGGAATATAGGGCTTCAACTACACGTCTCTACTTGCTTCTGTCTTCTGCTGTACTTTTCACCTGCATCCATGTTAGTCCATACTGTTTCAGCTCTTCTTCACACGATCTCCTCCATGTCACCCTTGCACTGACGTCCCACTCGCCGCTTCCCTTTCGGCTTCCACTCAAGGGCCTGACACGCGCGCGATGTCACCCAGCGGCCTCCTCAGCGAGTGTCCATCCAATCCATCTCCACTTTCTCCTGCATATTTGTTGGTTGGCGATTGGTTCTTGTTTTGTTTGTTCCCATAGTTTCTTGTTGGTGGTGATTCTTTCCGGCCATCTCGTTTTCGGTATAGAGACAAAACAGTTGTTGATGAAGGTCTGCACGCAACAGGCTGTTGAAAATATTCTTTTTGACCCACCCGCCAAGTTTCCGATCCGTTCCATATAGAAGAATTGACTTGACGTTTGTATTGAAGATCCAACCGAATTTTGTAGTTGACGCTGAGTGACAAAGATTTCCAGATTGATTTCAGGTTGATGAATGTGTTTCTCGCCTTCCCGATTCTCGCTCGATTTGACATCCTCGTCCGTTCCGACTGCCTGTAGTTGAGACAATGCTCCCTAGATAAGTGAATGAAGTAATCCCTTTCAAATCTCTCCCGTTGATGGTGATTGGCGCTGGGTATTGCTGTTGTTGTTGGTTGGTTGATTATTTTGATAACCCCCGTCTTGTTTATGCTCACCTGGAGTCCTGTCTTCACTGTCTGCTTCTTCTACCAGTTTGTCGGTTTTCGCTTGTAAGTCTTCGATTTTGTGTGACATCAAATATAAATCATCCACGCGCGAAATCCAGGTATTATAGGTTCTTCGCGTCGGTCTAGGATATCCCTGACTTCTCGTTTTCTACTGTCTGATGCATAATCTAGTCCACCACAATTAGGAATATCATTGGTGATAATAAGCACCTTTGTCTTATTCCTGTGTTCATTCCAAACGCCTCACTGAGTTTTCCGCTGTGGATCACTTGATATCACTTGACATTCACACCTATAGGGTTCAGTTAAAGAGCTCTACAGTTTAGTATGATTATCAGATTAATTTAACTTAGTAACAGCGACGCATAACTGACCAACACATTTTAATCAACACCTAGGAATAGATTACTATTCAACTATCAGTTTGTACACTTCGGATGTTCTTTTTTTATTATTTACAAACGTTAAGTTAATGAAACAGGAATTTATTCAGATCATTTATTTGGTCATTTGTCAGTAGTATCATACTTCGAAACCATCGTTCTTGTTAAACCAGATTACATGTAAAATCCAACTTCCAGCAGTCACATATTATGTAAACTACAGTAGCACAGTAACGCTGAAAACTTATCCACATGTTCTGGAAAATACCTATCGGGACATTAGAGGGAAAAGAGCAAGAAATTTAACAAAGATATCTTTTCGGCCATTTCATTTTGAAAAGCTTTTAAATACATAAATTTACATAGATAAACTTATAATCTGATTCCACATAATTGAGAAGGCGAAAAAAAGGTGACAATTATTTTCAACTTGATAAGGATTACGAGAAGCTTAGAAACAAAAATAATTCAGGAATAGGTACAATTGTAAAATAGTTATTCTACACGAATTACAAGTGTGAGCAGGATGAGCATGGAAGAAATAATAACTGTTCTTATAACTAAAAAAATATGATGAGCTGAATGAAGACAAAGAGAGAGAAATCACACACACAGCGAACAAAGCAAATAACCGAAGGCTAAGGAAACATATTGAACTAGGCCCATGGTTGGTTTTCTATGGAATGGCCGACTGACATACTTCGACAGTTGAATATCTATCAGTCATAAAAGAGCTCTCATCATCCCACTGTCACAACACACCAGAAAAATTTATAGCGATGACTGTTTAGAAGAAAAGCTCCAATTTCTTGAAAGCATCCTAGCTCAAAAGGTATACTCCCCGCCTTTCGTGGAGAAGAACATGAAAGCAAGGCTCTTATCCACATATACATATATCAAAAAAAGATTGGTCACTGCAGTAATTAAATTCAACAGTAAGGATCAGTGTAAAAAGCTACTTATTATGGTTCATTATAACTGTATTCTGAAAATTGCACCAGAAATGGAAACCACCATCTAAGTTTAGTAATAAAGCACAATATTCATCATGCGCGTACAACCAAGACCTAATGTCAATTCTGAGTAGATTTTATGTATGGCCAACAGAATCCTAAATCACATTTTATATTCATTCTTTAATACATCTGAAGTCTTTCTCCTTCTCATTAGCATTCAACAAAGTATAAACCTAAGGTATATTGTCTTAAGATGGTTACTTTTGAGCATTCAACATGAAGAATTATTACAGATATTTAGTGGATGGTCACTAGCAGTAGAATCCAGGATATGCCTTTCATCCTATAAATCTCGTGGCCTAAATAGCCTGCTGGATAATGCTTCTGAGTTTGAAACGGTGAGGGCAGGTTTCGAGTCTCAGTGGGAAAATTAACACTCAACCGGGATTTTAGATGCATCCAGATGACAAGCCTCAGTTGGATTCCACCGCTAGCCGCCACCCGCCAAATAACATCAAAAAGTAATCCTTCGACAACGTCGAAGAATCCACACTAAGGGGCTGTTATTGTCAACTGATAACAAACATTTCGGTACCATATAATTAGTCAACGCCAAATATAAAATTAACATAAACAAAGAGCTATTTAAGCCAAAAAATATCCACTAAAAAAACCTCCTAAACAGTACACTTGTTGTGATCAAACCATTATCAACTTATATGTCACGAAAAGTAAGTTTTATAAACTTACATTATCATCAATAATTAAATTATCATCTTCAAGACATTCCATTTCATGGTTGACTTCACTATGATCAGACGACTGATCGTTAATTTGTTTATTCTGCTCAATAAATTTATTGTTTGGATGCTTTTGTTTAATACTTGCTGCACTGTTACATTGTTCCTTCCTTTGATAATGATCGCTAGATACATTATTAGATTTTAACATATCCTCAGAGTAGGTCTGACATTGTTTTCGAATACTATCTGGGAAAGATTTCTTCGGTATATATTTATCAGGTGAGTAGCTTATGTCACGCCATGTAGATGAAAAAGAATTAGTTGTTGTATTCATAGCCTGATTATTTTTGAAATTCTCTTCCTTTTTCTTTTGTGTACAGTTTGATACTTGTTTCTGGTTACTTTCTGGGTGAACTTGTATTGTTTTATGGATCCTTCTGTTTCGAGGGGAGGATTTCGTTCGAAGGGTCTGTTTTTGTGGTTGTTGTTGACGGTGGTAGTTCTGTCTCTCATTATAAATTTTATCCGAATCAGTATGAATATGTGAACAGGATTTATTAATGTGATTTGTGCATACTTTTTTGGGCCATGTTATAGACGGTGGAGAAAATGAACTATCCGAATATTCATCAGTATTATGAAGCGTACTACACTCTAATGACAATTGTTCTAAACGCGTAGCTAATTCACGAGTGAATTGTTCTTGTGTAAGTGTATTTTTATTTAGACTAGCTCCTGTATACATTGGTTTACCTTTTTGTAATGTCATGCGTTTATTAGGCTTATGTTTGGTTTAATTATGTTGATGGAAAAGTATGTAAATGAAATCTGATAGGAAAAAATGTTACTATACTGATGCATTTGTAGGAAATACAAAATTAATATTTTTCAATAAATTTATTTCGAGTATTCTGTATACATTACATGATGTTACAGTCTCAAGATAAACCTGTAAAATGTAAAAGACCGAAAAGAGAAACGAATCATTCAAAATATTCTTGAGCAAATCACCACATTGAAAAAGAATTATCGTGAAACGGTAATTAAAACGATCTAACAACAAAATGAATTCTCACGGTAGAAAAATGCGACGTTATCTATTCACAAACACATTTTAATGCACGTTTCTTCAAGAACCAACACCGTCTAGTGAATCTTTAAATATCAAGGATTACTGGACAGCCGTTCTATTCTGGTCTAGGACTCTTCAGCAGTGTAAAGCTGTGATCCCATCAGGCATCGAAAACTTTAGGTTATGAGGCCGATTTAACTACTGGGTATGAATTCAGTGACCTTTGAACTCTATTTTCTGATAGGAAAAACATTATCTATTTCTTTTTATACGAATAGTGGTTTTTAATAGAATGGTATATTTGACAGTACAAAAAAGTGAGCTAAGGAAGTTTTGCCTAACACTCTGCCTTGAAATGTCTATGAACCGAGAAACTTTATTTATTTAAAATTTTAAAAATAAAATGGTACAATATCACAAAGCTGTTGCTCATAAGTGGTAATTGCTGCTTAACCAATACCCCTCTTATACGTAAACAGTTATAATTATTCTAAGGTTACAAGGAAACGACCTGTTATAACTCTTTTGATTATGTGTTTGAAACGTCATCCAGTGAGTAATACTATTTTACTGCGTGACAAGACGAACAAACCTATCAATATGGGGTCTGAATGTCTTCATCAGTTTTCCTCCATTTATTCCATACGCTGCAACTAAGTTTATTTCTCCTGGTGTAATTCTGTATCTAATTCCATACCTTCAGTACCCTGTCGTAATGTAGCAGCTTGAAGTGATATAGCATGCAAGGTTCTACGCTGATTTACTAATCAGTTATTAAATTGAAAATAGAATTCAGTCCTCTTAGCATATTACTTTCCCGAAACACCAGTACATAAGGTTACAATTGTTCCTTGCACAATTCTTGCGGATACGAGGGATCTTTTTTTCACTAATTAATGAATATTTAAAAGTTCAGCACCCTGTATATGAAGTGTTTACTGCAAATCATGACAGAGAGTTTTATTTGTTTATGATCTACAACGATAAATGAGGACATAAACCAACTAAATTGTTTAAGTCACAGAAATTGCAGATATTGCAGTCATAATACACTATCCTAGTAATATGTGTTTAGAGGCAAAATGTGACTCGTGACACTCCAACAAAGTCTATGAAATCAAGAACTGATATATTGTATTATTATTCTGATATGTTTCGTAAGATACAACATGTATTGCAAAACATATCACTATCAGCTATCACAGAATAATCTAAAGCTTGGTTAGTGACATATGTATGTCTGTGCTACGTTTGCGCATAAGATTTGCTGAAAGTGCTGACAAAAAACCATGGAAATTCTGGCAATAGATTGTGCACCTCAACAGCTTACTCAAAAAGACTTTGTGAAGTTTCGGAAGCACATATGAATTGAACAGAAGAATACATTTTTCATGACCAAAGTTTGGTCATAGTATTAACACCAAACTTGAAAAGTTGTTTAAATTATATCTTACATGTTGTTGCAAAAAAATCCCAAAATAGAATACACAATCCACAAAAATAAAACAGTTTCTTGCGTGACAGTTAACAAGCAATATGTCGCGATAATTTGTAGTACTGAAAAACCATGCTTTATACCTAATAAAAACTTTTTACGGAATTTGATCCTAAAAGGCGAGTAGATTTAAAACCAATTGAGGTTCTAGTAATGGCACAAGGTGAAAAAATAAGGATAATGCATCTCATAGGAAAAATAACTCTAATTATCTTTACACGAAAAACACCTTACTAATAGCAATTTCAAGGTCGAATTCAAAAAACATACACGGGGAAGATAGCAACAATACAATGTCCAATAACCTTTTGACGAGCTGGTATAAATTTTACAGCTTCTTGGTTATAACTTCTCGTTGCTGTGAGATATCTCTAGATCTTCTATGGATTTCAGTACATTTTATCTCTGAGAGTGTCGTGGCTTTGCTGAACCTAAGAAGAGTTTAGTTTGGGCGGGATTCCTGTTTTGCGGCATTTCTACGACTTTTAAGTTTCGTCTTGGACTACAGTCTTCTGGTTGTGTTGATGAACAGCCTTGAGAAACCAAGCGGTGTGTAGATCAAGCAAATGCAAGGCATGGCGAATGGATCATGTGTAGGACAAACATGATGGCTGGATTGAATGCCCACCTAACAGTAGTGTAACAAAAAAGATACGTCAGCACTAGCAGTGATAGAAATAGTAGCAAACACTACAATAAAATAATTAAGCATGAAAGTAACGTGTGGTATGTGTAGTAACAGCGCCGTCTTCGATAATTAGCCTACTTCCCAATACAGTTGCACGTAAACCTATTGTTTTTGCGTTACGGTTCAGTCTTCTATCAAAGCAATCGACTAATGGGGCGGTTATCATATCGGCGGGTAGTGGCCACAATGGGCGGCAAAACCTGTGGGAAAAGAATTTAGTCCTTATTTTCTCACTACCTCTTGATGAACAATTTGTTGGGGTCATCCTGAAGAATAATATCATAACCTGGCAATATTTCTCAGATAGGATGCAGTGTTTCGTATCCCGTGATGGGTTTGCTCCTCGTTCCACAGCAGTAGATCCACAAATCCAGCTGTCGTAATCCATGATCATGCTTAAGATACTTCAGTCTATAAGCTTTACAGCTATCTTTTGCACTCATTCTGGGATGTGAATGTCCCTTCTTACGAGTAGTGGTACAGTGACGTTGTAGGCTTGTGGATGCAGGTGCGCGTAAGTTTTGTGCAGTTTCATAGGTGGCCCGAGAGCAGGAGCTCCTGCATGCCTTTGGCCGCCTCTCCCGCATAGTTAGCAACTGTGCCAGTTATCCGCTGGGGGTAACCTTATATCACAGTCTGCCTCAGTTTGGAATAGGTGAGTTCCACAAATACGCCACACGAATCCCTACTCCTCTTGTGTACGAATGAAAATTATTCGACATTAGTTAACGTTGAAGGCTTGCGCATGTTCCATTGTTGAACTTTCAAATTAGGACAGATCTTTCTGAAGCTTAGTTGAATCCTCTATTCCTTACCAGCCTCTATAGCTTCACATCATCTATGTTTAAAAGTAAATATTAGCTTTACATGCTGATGATGTTGTTTGAGGGGGCCAGGAGTAGCAAACGCTCTTGAATCGCTCTTTATGATACTCCGTTGGTCACCTTTCTCACTGATGGGCACACTCGGTTAGCCATCGTGTGAAACTCTGCCTCCCAGGTGAGATACATTCAGTGCTCATAGTGTCACGACGGAATACAAGAGTCAGGTATTGGATACTTTATTGGGAAAATCAACAGATATTTATAGATTTTTATGTGCATTGTTATTCGTTATTCTAAGCAGAGAAACAGTGTCTTCTGATTGGTTGTCTTCTCTCTGAAAGCTATTCTGTCATTTCTTTGTGGCTATTTCTTTGGAGATCAGACCATATATCTGCGAATCGTTTTCTTCTACGCAAAATCCTGCCATGATTGGTTGCTGAGTTCCTCACGGTAAGGCTTTGATCTTGTTTTCTCTCATGACCAGGATTTGGGGATAAAACATCGATGTTAATCGCTGTCTACCAGTTTTGGCAAGCAAAAAGCTCTCATCACAATAGCATATTACCCAATCTCGACTAGGTAATTTCTGCAACAAGATTTTGCGGGACACTGAGCCGAATGGTTTAACATGGATCATGAATGTCCTGATCCCAGAATGCTCTTTTATTATCACGTCTCGTCCTTAATTACCAGCAGAGGATCGCTGTTTTCTGATTCATCTTAAGTTTCTTTTCGTATTCTGTTTTGGTTCAGGTCCTCGCTGGTTCAGTCGTTAAAAAGGCCATCCCTCACTTTTGATATCACCGGTAATTGTGATGGTAGTACAGAGCATTTGGTTTCTTTCTGCAGCCCTCGGACTTAATAGAGGTAACAGAACCACCTGCTTCCAGACTTTCGGTAACTCATCTGATAAGTCGGTGGTGCGTCGGTGGCACAGCGGTTAGGATTCTCGCCGATCATGCACATGGTCCGGAGTTCGATCCTTTACCGACACACACACGATATCTACGGTTGGCCTGCAAACTTTAGGTTACCGATGTCACAACTGATCCACCAAGTTGGATGTGAGGACAAATCCCCACGGGTGACACTGGCTGATTGTCAGTCAGTGATCAAAACTGACATTTTTTGGCCTAATTAGCATCATTATTATAAATAACGCGTTTTGTTTAAATTTCCTTATAAAATGCTTCCGATTAGTCATATATATATGTGATAGTGCAGTCTGACTGTAAGTTCTTTGAAAAGAGTCGATTCACTGAAGATAATGTGATCAACGCGACCAAAATCAAATACAGTTACCAAAAAAATGAGTGAGTGAACATACCCTTACTGTATGCACAATTTTGGTTGGAAACGTTAATTTTTACCCCTCAACGTGAAATACTTCTGGAATTTTCCCACCCATTTATTACGTATACACGAATGTCTAGTCTAGCTGGTGATTTCGTCGAAAAGCAAATTTTCGTCTCTATAACCGTCTGTTTAATTTTTCCCATGGAAACCTCTTATTGCAAGTGTCTTACAATGTGTAGTGGTTTATCGATGTTCACAGAATATACCGTATCCATAGGGTGTTTGGTGACTAAACTCTGAAAATATCTGCCTCTCTCTAGACAGATATTTCTTTGAATATGCTCAGAGAACCAGAAATAAATAAGGATAAAACTTGGGCACCGTGGTAGAGTATGATATCATTATTGATAAAATTTGTTCTGGTAAATTCCCAGTGTTATACAGTAATATCTACTGATGACGTTTTGAGCACAAGTTATTGCTACTCATAATCATATCAAGTCACTCACACAACGTTTTGCTTCATTTATATACATGAGTAAAACTGACTAGACATTTGAATAAAAATCGATATAAGATGATACACATTCAGAAATACTAGTGATATCAATCAAGTACAATCGAATGAGAAATAATAGGTTTTTATAGTGAAATAAATAACTTGTTAGAGTGTTATAATGTGAATTGAATACATTTTAACATTATTTATTATCCTCTGACTTGACTGGTATTTGCTTCGTGTCACTTCTATTGCATGTGTTAGGTGCAGACTCGATGAACAAGGATTCAGTATTTACTCTCTGTACTTACCTATTTCACCCTTTAGAACTTCAATTCTGTCCCACCCTGTTATGTAGTTGTGTGTTAATACATGCAGTGTTATAGCTGAGTTTTCTTGTACATTACATATCTTCGTGTGATCAATTATTCTAACCTTAGCCAAATTCTTATATTCTGATAGTCACACTACTAGTTTGACCTATGTAGTTGACATAACTCACAGTCATTGCAAGGTATGTTGTAGATTATAATATTTTGTTTATTTCAGTCCATGGTTAAATTCATTTTGCTCTAGTCTTGAAATATTGTCCGTGAACATCACATACCACCCTGTATTAATGTATTCCATACACTACTATTCTTTGGAACACGCACAGTCTTTCTTGTCGCACCCTTCGGTTTACTCCAGAGGTTCATTCATTTACTTATTTTCAACTGTATCATCTATTTATTTGTTCAACCATCACTTTCAGAATTATGCAATACCCACTAATATTATGATGATTATTAACATCGTTATTGTTATTATGATTTGTTTGTCTACCCTACATAACGAATAATAGCCAAGCGGGCTAATGCCGATCAGAGCAGTGCCACCGGCGAAGTTAAACTTTCGACACCACTAACTACCAATCAGCGAACTATCCAATGAGATTCACGAACGATGTCGAATTATCCAATGAGGTTCACGAACGCAGTTCAATGTTGTATAGCGCTTGATTCATTTCTAATGCGTGACCTTACAAGGCTGTTGTTGCAGTTCGAGGAGGTTAGTGTTTCCGAGTATTTCCTAGATTTCATTTGCTCCGGAAAGAACGAATTTGATTGTGTGGTGGTATCATGACTTTAAAAAGCTAAGCCAAATCAACTGATGGGTTTGTTCATCGTTGTGCTATATGTTTGAAGCCTACTAACACTAGAGGGTATGCTGATAATTTTATTATTTCGTAGGAACTTTTTTTCGCTAGGTCGTTTCTCTCCCTAAGGATAGCAGATAGAAAAGCAACTACTCTTATACCTATTGTTACCAGAATTGTTAAGCGGGGGTCAATTATACACACGGAAAGGCTACAATTCGCTGTCATCTCTGGGATATATTCATCGTAGAGACAACCATTCAAGTGATTTTGTGGATCCCGTTACGAGGACACATACAAATTCTAATGAAGGATTTTGGGGCAGGTTGGAAAATAGGATAAGGGCTATAGATGTATTTCAAAAGGGTCTCATTTATAGTCATTTGGATGAATATGTGTACAGGATATGGTGTAACTTCTCCATTGACAGTCCCATGCTAAACTGGGAGATTTTTCTCTCACATTTTCGAGAAAGATATCTCATGTAACCTTTTTTATTATCTATTTTATGCTTTTTTCTATAAATATACATTTCCATTCATCATATATGCCTCTTTAATGTGATTGGTCCGTTCGAGGTCGTTTGCTTATTGGTTCTTAGTGGTGTTGAAAGTTTAACTTTACCGTGCCACCATCTTAAAACATAGAACACTATAAGTAAAATGACTGATATCCCAAACAATTTCCCTTAGAGTCTGCCAGATGATAAGGTGGGACAGAATTTTTTGGGAACCCACAGGAGTTTGAGAACAGTTACTACTCTGCGAGAGCAAAATCAAAGTAATCAACATGATTTGAGCTAACTTACAAAAAGGAAACTGAGTATCAGAATTTCACCTCTAGTCGTAGTATGTCCATTTTGTGTCCGGATACATCCTTTGGTATCCTGAGGATCACCGCTCAAATGCCATATGTTTAAAGTCAGACACTTATTCGATTTGCTATGTATAGACACATCCAACAGCATCAGTGTGAGAAGGCTAAATGGACAGTTTGCAAATTAGTTCCTCCCTAATTCGTTCAAAATTTCCGCACTGTCCCAAAGTAGTATTTTTTATATTTTTGATTACAGCTTGATTACATACTGTATTTTTCGGTAGAAGTATTGAATTTCTGGCGTGTGATATCGGTAGCCCAAATTTCGCAGGCCGACCATTGATATCAGGTGTGCGTCAGCAGGAAATTAAACCTCAGATCATGTGCGTGGTAGGCAACAGTCATTGTTGCTGTGCCACCAAAGTACCCAGTATATTATTTACGTGAAAAGGTTGCGAGTGCATTGATTGCATAACGGTTGTTTGCATTCGGAGTAGTAGTAAACTTAATTATATCACAAAGTAGATGAAAGTCAAGAATTTGTATCAGAAAATGGATGCGTAAATTCAGTAAACAGAAGCAAATGCTAATGGCGATTTGTTTTGAATCTGTTTTGTCAGAAAATCTATGGATTGTATCTAAATAATATCCTCGAGATCTGGGGATCCAAACATGCTTTACGTGTGTCCTGAGTACAGAGTTTTGGAGGCTGAGAGTATTGACCTTCACGGATAGTGCGATTTATACTAATGCAAGATCTAACACCCACACCTTCTATAGTATTCGTTCCGCATTGATCAAAGACAAATCAAAGAATTGGTCATCTAAATTAAGAACTAGATTTCGGGATCAAACTGAAATGCGAGGATGACTGCTTAACTAGGAATCGTGCTGAAACGGATGAACGTAACACGATGACGTGACAGAATGGTGTGTATACTTGACCGTAAGTCTCTAGATAAACAAATCAACTTGGAGAATGAGGGTTAGTATCCAATGTTCACTGATGCTGTGGTTAATAATTCTGGGGAATCACCTTCTGTTACAGGGTATATATATCGTAAATGTCTCGGCAATAGTAATTCCCTTGGGATAGATCAGTTTTGTTTCAGAATAAGATGAATTTATGGTGGGACTACTATCAGATTTCGAATGAATTAGGAATCCTTACACAATTAAGAAAGAAGTATATTCTTAAACCCAGAGATGTAACCTATGTTGCAATTGCCAGCTGTAAAATGTTCATCAAAATGCGTAGTCTCTAAGTGAAGGAACTAAGTAACAGCTTTGCTGGGAACAGTTTCCTCACTCTTCAGATGCTTTAAAATAATAAACTAAAATTTCTCATTCCATTTTTGGTTATTCGTTAGCAGTAGTGAATGAAATAAGTACAGCTCAAAATTTTCAATCAGCAATGTACTCTGGGTCCATCCAATTCGCTTAGAAAGTGAAGGCCCGATTCTTACACGAAGAGGTTTATTGTCTCCTGTAGTCAGTAGCAAACTGTGCAAGGACCATCTGCTTTAAGTCAAAAAGGGGGAAGTTGAATAAATACTTCTGGTCAGTGTAAGTGAAGCGGTGGACATTATACTCCTCACAACCCAATTCAGCACTATGACCCTAAGAAAGTAATAGGCTTAGACCTCTGTTTATAAGAAACAACTTTTGACTTCGGTTACCATAACGTTGATCATAGGTCATTTATCCACAGAGATATTTGCTTGCTTATCCATTGTAGTTGTGAACTGCTAGTGGAATATAAGTGTGAAGTTTTACAGACCTAACACTATCTGTATGAAGACTAATTGATCGTATGTGATCCTCGTGAACAAACGAACAGCTAAATCTTCGTGTGTGGCGTTACACAGCCTTCCATAAGCATCCACCAGAAAACCGAAGGAATTGCGATGTGCTGCGCTAAATTAAAACTACACATATAAAGTGTCATTTCATTCATGATACCCCTCACCATATGGGGACTGAAAATCCTTAACATCTAGTCATAAGTACTATAAAATTAACACAACTAACAAGGAATAAAAACCTCAAACAGATGGTGAAATTATATAGTATCGCTTACGTTGTAATGAAGTTTTATGTTTGAATGTTTCACTTGCTTAGTTCTCGTCAATGTCACTCTCATAATTTCCCGGATATTTGAACAAGGTAACAATGGACAAGTTGGCGGGTACTCGTAAAATCCTTGAGGATTCATTACGCCAAAAGAACTGGTTTACTGATCTCTTGGAGAAAGCGGAAAAAAAGACTAATGTTGATCGCCTGTACATTGTTCTCGGTAAGTGAGGTGTTGTGCTAATAAAATGTTTCAGGGGGTGCTCTTGTGATATTCCTTTATCTAATTTTCGGTTATGGAACCAGCTTTCTTGCCAATCTGATTGGATTTATATATCCTGCATATAGATCGTAGGTTTAACTTGACGATTACACTTTTCCTTCAGCATTAAAGCTCTCGAGACAGCTGACAAAGCAGATGACACCAAGTGGCTTACTTACTGGGTTGTGTTTGCAGCATTCAGTGTTGTTGAGTCATTCACTGATATATTCTTTTATTGGGTGCCGCTATACTCATTGCTGAAGGTTTGAAGTCGTTCTGATATTCACTAATCTTTTAGTGTTCATTCTTCCTATTCATGATGATCCCAACCTCACCTAATGGGTCGATACTTATCTATCAGAAAGTTATCCGACCCCATATATTGGCACACGAAAAGGATATTGACAAGATAATCAACGAGGCTGCTGATTTAGCTGGTGATTTTGGAAATGCTGGTAAGTCAACTAATAAGTGTTTTGCGAACTGTTAAATTCCGATGTCATGCCATGACTTTATTGTCACTCACATAATAATGTAGTCCAGTGATGATTTACCGTAAATGTTCCACAGAAATATCTTGGTTTTTGTTTAGAACATGTAGTTCCTCAGGCATGGTGTTTTGAGGCAAAGGTCATGTACATGGTGTATACATTGCAGCTAAATATAAAAATGCGTCGGTGGTATAGCGGTTAGGACGCTCACTGACCATGCACATGGCCCGGGGTTCGATCCCCGGCCGACTCACTCCTTTACCTCGCTAAACCAGAAATAATGCTGGTGAAGAGGTAAGTTTGGGCATGAGGCTAGCAACCCCATCCTGTAGAATTAAATATAAAAATATCAATCACGAATTAATGCCGGGCGCATCAACTTCTTACACATTAAATATAGGCCGTCACGAAGTTGTGAGGGAACATCACCTAAGTTCATTAGTTAGATGGAATGAATCCATTACAGTGAATTGTATTTTCGTTATCCCACTCTATAATAAAGGGGCATACTGGGATAATTACTTAGTCGTATTAATATCCTGTACTTACCATATGCACTGACCAGGAGGTGCTATTCTGCCTCATTGGTCGAAAGGTACCGTGGCATTATCTGAATATTATTGAAGTTGTGTAAAAGTATACCCTAACTAGAGCCCTATTCTAGCACATGGGGCTTACGGAAAATTGCCGCGTGAAGGGATAAAAGCCGGTGTCCTTCAAGGATACCCAAAGTTACTTTTTATTGCGTTTCTGGCTTGAAGTAAAATTACTTGACTTACTGCTACTGAGGACTCCAATCTAGTAGGTTTTACCTCAGCAGCCTATTAAAAATAGTACCCGATAACCTCATATTAATTTCAAATTTTTGCTTGACTATCCCTAACTATTTTACGACCTTGGCTTACTTCATCTGTGATTGCTAGACAAGAAAAGTTATGGAAAGGAAGTATATGAATAAAAGTGGAAGTGTTTGAAATAAACATTGTTTTCCATAGATGGCTACTCGGGCTAATTAACGTTTGTTTTAGGCACGTTATATTGTGAAACACCAACTCTAACTGATACCTTTTTGTGTGTTAAATCCCATATTCACATTGTGTTGGGTTTCTTTAGTTTGTTTCCACACAGTTTTTCGAAATGTCCCACACTTTTATTGTTTTTTACTCTTATGGGCATTTTGCAAGGCTCCATTGTACACTTCATCCACAGAACTTTTCTATCACTTGTATACCTTGCTATTCTGTAGCAAATCCATTAGTCTAGATTTTTTATGGGTCATAGATTAAGAAGCAACAACAATGGTATCAGTAATAAGAGTATTTCTGTTACTCTGTACAAATGTCAGTTTAACACTACTACTGTTCTAACCTTCGAACCTGTGCGAGTATATAGGATGCAAATATTTAAGTATGTCAGATATTCTGCTTCTTATGTTTCTGGGATACTATAGTTTTCTATACAATAAAATGTATACATATGTTACAATTCACTCAAGGAGTTACATTCTGATGCACTCACTATGTTGCCTTATTCTTTATTCCCTTGCATTTCCAGCGGAGCATAGGGTTTCAGACTTAAGCTTTAGACTTCTAGAAGCATTTTTGTCTTTCTACGGAGTCGAGTTGCTAGTCTCGCGCCTAAACTTTCCTATTTACACGCCTTATTGCTGGCTGAGCGAGGTTTAGCAGTACGCTGCCTTACGGTTATTGATAATCTTGTTGCAAAACATACAGCAATTTTGGTTTAAGTAAGCATATTTATCAATAATATATAGATCTGTGGTATGGAATTTACTAGGACGCATATAAGACTAGCTCCTGCAAGTTCTCAGTTAAAATCGAGATACAACAACCACATATGTCTGTGCTTTGATCGCCAGGGTGTACCCCTTTTTGCTAGGGAGGTACGGCGACGCTTATTGGTTCACGGTTAGGTGTTTATTTAGGTCACTTGGACTCTGATTAACGTTGTATACTGGTGATCAGGATTCTGCAGACAACCACTTCATGTGACTGTTGTATGATTAGAAAAGGTCTATGTACATCTGGATTGAATGATTTGCATTATCTCAAGTATTTACTGTTAGTACATATATAAAATGTATCATTTTCGAGCTTTTCTGTCTGGAGATAGCTGTATAAATAAACTGAAAATAAGCAGCTATCCTCAGCAACTATTTGATGGATTTGGACAAAACTAGTTTTTGCTTCATATGCGAATCTTTCCTAGTGTCTATGCATCCGTGTATGAAACTGTGAACCTGCAGCGATTGATCTGACTGGATTATGATTTGTGTGTACCTCACCCACTCTAATTTTATGCTGCCTACAGTAGTGATAAAATAGTAAGTTTGATTGCAATAAGACGTCGGATTAGCTGATGCTACCATATGATATTGAGGAATGCAAACTTGTAATTAGAAAATGACAAGATAATTCGTGATTTCTGTGGACATTCAGTTTAGATATCTACATATACATCCCCCATCTTATGTTAGGCTGTAGACTAGGTGATGTGGTGCAGTCTCATTCCTGCTTGAGCATTATGTAGAAATTGATCATTCTGTTTGCGTTATCACCTCATTTTGTCTTATTTATTGTAATTCGATAAAGCCAAACGTTATCAGGTGTTGGTGCGTACTGCGAAAGGGTACAAAACTAGGACGAAACAGCTGTCCTGTACTCCTTGGTTTCCCAGTGGTTCTCTAGCTGATGTCAGCTAACGATGAAACCTGAAAGTGAAATGTGCTTAATTCTGCTATTACATGACAGTATGAAGACGTGTTTGTCTTGTAGCAGATACAAGACAGGGAGATGTTTTTTAACAGTGGATGTTGCACTAGTGCTTAGTGGTTTAAAAATGGTCTCTAGCAATTAGACAGCAGAAGCATATGTCGTGTCTGATAACCGAAAATATTGGTGTAATCAGGGGAATTAGAAGAAGGCTTTGATGAGCAAAATACAATGACGTAACATTTTGCAACCCATTAACTGGCATCCTAGCTTCCTGACCATATTGAAAACTTGTTTATTAGAATTCAATCGTCGAATTAAGTGTAGAAAAAGTGATGTGTTATCACTCCATGAAGTCTGTTAGTGTAGATGGCTAAGGGGAATTGGCCACGTTTTGGAATCCTGGATATATTAGTGATCATTGAGTAATAAATGGCTTACAGTTAGTGGTAGTCTTATACTGTTTCATTTACTTCATTATTATTTAACTTGTATTTTCCCCATTTGTATGCTTCTGTATAAGTGTAGCATCTGAGTACGGTGAACTTTTATGAAGAGTCCTACATTCTTTTTTTGAGTATAGATGCGTTTGATGAAGTGTGCACGTTATATGCAATACCATTGTTCATTTGTGCTATCTAATACAATAGGCGAAATTTCAAAGTTCAAGATTTATTGTTGTATAAGTTTATCGTATTATTTATAAAAAAGCATATGAACACTGGTTGTATTACCATAACTTGATTGCTTATGCGTGTTGTTCACACCCTTCACTTTGTGTGTGAATGGTGGATTTAAAAAAAAGCAAACTATCATTGCATTTCAAAAGTCAGGAATACTATCGTAGAAACCATTTTAATGACTACCAAGCATGAGTAAAATAACAAATAAGACATCTTGAATAACCTTAAAATGTTAGGATTGACAACCATGCAGTGACTATTATTTGTAAGCAGTTGATGCCAAAGGAGGGGTAAGATCCAGATTCCTCTTTACACCTATTTTTCCCTCCGTGTTCATAATACCTCCAGTTGTGTCTGTCAAGTGTATATTTGTGATCTGAAGACGAGTTATTTGAAGGAAAAAAATTAGATCCGTATACTTCAATCACTATAGTTGCTAAGGCTTATGGATTTTTATTTCCAACTTTCTTGTCAGTGTGATGTGTCATTACTGTGTATACAATGGAAGTGCTTCCATATTGTCCATATTTTCTCTCTAATTTCTTATTTTCTATGTTAATACGGAGCGCATACTTTTTACATTTCAGCTAAAAAGAAGGCCGCTGAAGTAGTATCTCAAGAACTCATTGGAAAAAATGAATAATATTAATTATCATTAATGAATGGATTATTTCTGGATATTTAATATGTATAACGTCATGCCTCCTGGATTCTGCCGTATATATAATATCACAGATTAAAACTTTTGATATCCACTTTTCATTCGTTCTTTGCATGTCAATACAATTTGTGTGTATTTGTGCCTGTGTATGTGTGTGTGCGTGCATTCGCCATCTTCAACTACCCATCACCTACTTTTTTGTTTTTTTGTTTTTGCACACTTTCATTCCAAGCTGAACTTATACTTTGTTAATGTCCTTCTTATTATTTATTGCCTCTACCGTTTTATTGATTGATTGAATAGCTGCAATATTCTATATTCCTTTATTAATGTGTACATCTTAATGAAATATCTCTCATAAAGGAAAGTTTTTTTTGCCTTTGTTTAGTGTGTCTGTGTGTATCTCAACCTTTTTTTTTAATTTGATATACCCTTGAAGAAGTTTATGCTTTTTTTTGTCTTTCCTAATCTCTCAGTGCTTATTTCATTTGTGCATACATGATAAGTAAAAGATTTGTTTCTCTCTTCATTTGTATTTCGTCATTTATTTGTTCTGTACCCTAACACCAGCATCATTTCACAAAGTGAATAAAGTAATCAATGAGTTAGAATGTTTCGTTCACTTGTGTGTGTATGTGTGTGTGTGTGTATGTTAAGTGCACAGAAAATTTGGACTGTTCCCATCTATTCATTCATGGTGATGTTGTGCTGTTTTACTTGCATCAAGTTAACACTTCTAATGCTACTATATACATCAGCATAAGCTAATATAAGCGGGAGATATCCTATTTTTATGGTTTATCGTTCCTGTTTTTCCGATATCGTATATTATTTGATGTAAGTAGAACTGTGCTAAAAGACTAAAATTTCTAATCATTTTCAAGTGGTATCATTAACCATCATGTGATATATCAATATCGAATGGTTTACAAAGGTAACTGACTGACTCGTTTCAACATAGAACTTTACACAGAAGTGTAGCAATTCGAGTTGCCACACTCCATGCAGCACTCAAAACAAGATAAATGAGATTGCCTTGATTAGTGATATGCACTTTCTTGGTTGAGGTAGCCTTAGCCAATTTTTGTGAGACTATTGGAATAAATTTGAATCCCAATCCAAGTATAGTTGTACACATTCGAATCACCTAACATACTGAATATCAGCAACTGGTTTATTTTATAATCTAGTATACTAATCTGTAATGTTTTCTGGAGCGTTCTCATATTCGAGTATACTTGAACTGTAAGACGATTCCTCTTTTCGTTTTAACACTGATGACTTGACATGTATAAACTGGAGGATAACAGTGTAATCAGCTGATAGATTTAAGGACTTAGTAATTCTTACATGAGATCCTGAATAGTAGAACTGTAACTCCTTTATGAATGAACTCTAAAGCAGCACCCTGTGATATATGGGCCGTTTCCCTTGCATCATTCACTTTTGAATTAGTAAAGTGTTTAGATAAATAGTCTAAGAGTTGAACTAACTAACCAGGAAGAAGTGTAAATGAGGCAGTAGAAAGTAGGTGCGGCACCCCCCTTTGTCCTCGTGTTGTATGAAGTTTGTGTTAAAATAAATTGATGTGTATTTGGGAAATCCAGGAGGAAACTGCAGAATTGTTTCTGTAAATTTTTAATTAATGAACGTTTGAGAGAAACTCTGACCTAATTGGCGGTAAACTTATTCATTATGACCAAGACTATTATTTTTTATTATTAGAAACACTTGGTACACTATAGGCACCAAGGGATGCGCCACACAAAAGTAATAAGACAACAATATATGAAGAAAACTAGAGATAAGGTAGATGAGGCAGGTCATTGAGAAAACAAGTAGGCGTACTTGTCAAGAATATTCACTACTTCATTTCACTGTCAGAAAGTGAAGAAAGAAGAAAGTTTCAGCATGTTCGCTAGTGATCACAACTCATGGCCATATATGATGACGTCTCGAGCCGTCGATTCGAACTGTCTTCCAAACCCTCCTCTCCCCCCAGTGGGGGTCATGATGTACCAATTGATGCTAACTTGACACAAATACCCTTCATCCCACGGCGCCAGGTCATAGGCTGACGACTTCTTCATTTTTCCATCCATGGCTAGGATAACATTCGTAGCACATGTCAAAGCCACCGAAACTAGTGTTTCAATATGACAACACTCAATGAATAGTGATCACTGTGTTCAACCTCAGAATCGCTTACGTGATGATGTCATTGGACTCAGGTAACGCTATACAGGCAGTAATGTTCAAATACACAGTCGCCGCATATCCTGAGCTCAAAGTGGCTAAGTCCCACTGGCGTAGAGCAGGACTGTGAGCACCGAAGTCTTGTAAACTTGATCTCTAATGACCAATACTGAGTACTACAAAGGAACCTTTGGGAAATATCAATTTAAAATTAATGTATAAACTAAAATAGCCAATGATTGGTTCGATCAACAGGTTGAAATACTCAGACATTTAAGAATTTTAGAGGCTGAAATTGGACAGTTAATATTAAATGTCGAAATCAATAATGGTCAGGATGCAAAACCTAATAAGGCTAACCGTGAGTTTAGTCGATAAACCCATTTGTTACAGAAAGTGGTACTGCAATTTTCTGTAGAACTGACCTTCGAAAAATATGTAACCACCATATTCTCAACTATCTGTAGGTTACAAAACGTTTCAAACAATATCCCCCCTCTCCAGATGATCAGCAGATTGATGACATTATCCTGCTCAATTTGTTCTTCATGTGTTCAACTGCAAAAGATTTCTGCAGTAAAGATTCTATACTCCTTGGTATAAATTGAAATACAGTTAGTGAATGAAGATAATGAATAATGAAATTGTCGAGATGAAAATTTCGAAAACAAAATAACTTATGGATTAGACAGTATCTAATTAACGAGTATTACGGTAGTGCAGTGGAGAAAGATTAATTTATTGTACTTGTGTATAAATACAAGGTTAGAGTCGGAATTATACTAAGATAAAATTACTTAAGTTCAGAAAGTTACATTATCCTAATAAACTTGAAAACTGGTTACGTAATAATCATGAAGTGTATATAAACAAATGGAAAATAAAGATTAGAAATTGAAGTTATTGTGATAGTGGGAAGCTAACAACTGCCTGTCTTTGATTACATATGTCTAGTCTCATCTTTTGAATAGCCTTTGTGGATGTAAGTGAATGCAATGGAAATGTGTGTTATGCCCATTAAGTGATAACCAGTAGAACCGTCAAGTATGAGTGAATCGCTTAATTCAGTTTCAGACAGCAATCAACTTGAGTCGTTATTAGATTGAATTATATAACTCCCAACTTGGTGTAGAGTGGCAGGAGAACATTATGGTGTACAAAATATTTTTTGTACATTTCCATTGCTATTGTTTCAGTAGTTTTATTAGATGGTTGGAGGCAATCGGCGACAAGAAGCCATGGACTTAGGTTTCGTGCTAGTTGGCACTCACCAGTCAGAAAGGCGTATCTGCAGCCTTAAAGGAACTCATACTCCTTCTGAGATATGAACCCGCATCACCCAGTGCTACAGTCGTAGACTGAGTGCCACTGAGTGCCATCTAGCACGAAACCTAGTTCCAAGGCTTCCTGCTGACTGCCTCCAACCATCTTATATCATCAAATCAATGTGCTATGTGATGGTGAGCTACCTAGAATGGTGGCCACATTGCAAACCTGACTGACTGACTGATAGAATTCAATATAGAGAGAATCCCCATTTAGACATTTAGCAAACAGAAAGATTGAGCGAAGAAATATTTACTTTTCAGTTAGATCCTCATCTGTAGCCCTACTCTAACACACATATAGAGCATTTTTATTACAATACACAACAATTTACCAATCAAGTGGCACTGATATGTTTCTTAACAATAATTAGTCATTGTCAAAATGTCAATGGGTTGATAATAAACGAAGAAAATCAATACACATTTAAAAGGTAGAAATGATTAGAATAAATTAATTTCATAAGGATAACACGTAATTAAAGACGAAGTGGTCAGAAAAAATAAAATAATTTGGACAATTATAATTTTAAAGGTTTAGGGGGATGGGGCCGAAGTAGTCCGGTTTATACATTCATGTAACGATGGCTAAGGTAAGGATAGTGGCTGTACAAATTTCTTCTGAGCACACAGTTTTGGTTGGCTTCTTCAGGTGGATTCCTACTGCTTCAGCTATATGTAGAAAACGAACTCGTAGAGCGAAATAAGAATTAGTAGGAATACGATGAAGAATTTTAAATGCAGTATAAACGTCAACCTTATGCTCACTATCTACAAGGTGTGCTAAAATAGAGCTGCTACGAGTAGATCTTGTTTGTCCCTTGTTTAAACATGTTGGTTGATGTTCGGAAATACGATGATGAACCTGCCTAATTGTACGCCTAATGTAGCTGGCTCCGCATCTGCAGTCAAACTGGTAGATACACATAGAAGAGGCAAATTTATGTAGTTTATCCTTATTTCTCGAACGTAGAATTGGGGTGGTTGTGAAGAGACAACGCACCTATGCTGCATAATAAGCTCTTTTAAGCGCATTCTTCAGGCGCTGTATTATTATTTCGCTGATTTTGTCACCGAGGAACTGCATTTTTATGAACACTGGTTTTTTTCGGAACTGTTGCCATACTGACTCTCCTAAGTGCTGAATTCATATTTTTCTCAATAAACTTATCTGGATAACCATTTTCACTAAGTAATTCTCTAATAATCTTAAGCTCCTCATTGAGGCAGTCGTCTGAACAGATTAACCTAGCTTTATGAATCAGACACTTTACCATGTTACGTTTATATTTCATTGATACAAAACTCAAGAAATGAGTGTACTGATCTGTTGTTGTAGGTTTCCTGTACACACTCCTTCTTAGTGTGCCATCTTCTTCCCTTGCCATGAATCGGTACCAAAGGAAGGACTAGACACATTACACGAGTTACTAGTGTTCAATCAAAGTTTCAGCATTTTGT